TTCACATTTAAAATAATTGAATAAACAATTTGAAACTAAATACTGACGAGACATATACCGAAAATTATATTATATACTGAACTAATGTTATGTATTCACCGGAAATGTATTCTATGAAACACTTTGAATATAGTTATCCGATAAGTGAGTTACGAGTAATAAATGAATAAATGTTTACTCGTCTGTAGAATACTTCTTAAGAGTTACGATATTGTAATGCAATATACCGTACAGTAAGTCATAAACAGTTTATAAATTTATAAAATGTGGCAAAACTTTCTTATTTTATATAAATGCCAACTACTGGTTGATCCCGCGTATGCTATACTGTATGTACCAAATGATTTAATGTAATGTAATGTCAAAAAATGATTAATCTATTTTTTAATCATTTCTAAAAGTCATGAAAAAAAATTTGAGACAGTCTTTCAAATGATTATTATCATAGGAGATATGTCAGTTTTAGCCCAATCGGAGGGACTTCTTCGGGAAGGGATGCGTTTGTGGTGTCAGGGGACGGGACGGGTCTGGGACTACTGGTTGGTCCCGCGTGTGAAACAATACTTTCAAATATACAATAAATAATAATACGTTAATCACTGATCGCTCGACTCTTACATTGTTATGATTCCCAGAGAACACCAAATCAATAGGTGTCTAACGAATCGTTTGTAACGATGGTTAGTATCAGTTAAATGTCTTTTTGTGGATTAATTTCTTATTTATTTATAATTTCAGAATAATCCCAAGAATTTAATGGTAAGAATGCCATCAGGGAAATTTTGCTATCCAGCGATCACTATGGACACCACAGGTAAGACTCAAATATTTAAAACTCAATTCAATTATGGTTTATGCGATTATGAGTTTGAGTTTGCTTTGTGTCTAAAAAGATTTTTTTGGTTTTAAAACGATTTAATTATCGGAAATAAGTTATAAATTGTATGTCTATTCTCAGTGAACACCACTTTTCCCATAAGCGCTCATAGCCTCGAAGCTATCGATTTTATTAAACCATTTATTTGTTGTTTAATTACAGTGAAGGCACCAAAGACTGGGACGCCCTGAGGCTGGAGGAGGAGGAGGCGCCCGGGAGTCTAAATCCAACGAAAAGTTGAATCCTAATGAATAAGAATCACATTTTCTATGCTTTTTAGAAATAGTGTTTTCATATCTGTTTAACTCATTTGAAGTGATGCCTGTACAGTACTCTATTAGATTTCACATTCAAACTTCATTAGTTTCCATCATTTTATAATTAGTGAGAATATAAATCAATTAAAAATATACCTTTTTCGATTAAAATCATTCATTTTTAGAAACCTTTATACAATTTTATGTAACATTCCGTTCAGTTCTTGTCTGTTATTCAGTGGTCAATACAGACCACAGACTGATCACAATTCTTATGCCACTAATAGTGAATCGGTTTCCGAATAAAATTCATTCAATTAATTCATTTCATTCCTATTCTATTCAATAGTTTTATTTGCTTTCCCTTTACTGTATTATAAATAAATTAAAAACAAATTTTTCGCAATATTTTTCGCAGTAATTTATTCTCCATTTGTTTAATTTCCATATTATGTCTCAAACTTAACATTAACTTTAATTTTGAAATAACATTAATGCCATTAATAATCACATATTATATTATCATATGATTCGCTTTAAAACTTTCTGTGTTTATA